AAAAAAAATACATATACCACATATGCATATAAAACATATATATATATATGTATTATATATATGTGTGTATATATATAAATATGTTTATATATGTGTATATATGTATAATGTGTATAATTTTATGAATATATATAATTTTTAAAATTTTATTTTTATTTTTATTATTTTATTTTTATTTTATATTAATTAATATTATTAAATATTAGGGATTGATGATGTTGCAGATGACTAGGATGCCATGTCAGCATTAAATAATATTGTTTTTCGTTCAGGGTTTTATTTGCTAATTTTTAAAAGTATAGAGTTTTAATTGCCAATTTTTAAAAGTACAATGTTTTTTTGGATCAAAAAAAAGTACAGGGTTTAAATTGCGACGAGAGAAAAGTACAGGGTTTTAAATGGAATTATCCCTATATATATATATATATAGTATCTTAAAGAAAAGAACAAGTAATAACAGACAGAAGTAGGCATTGGCTTTTTGCCATCTTCACCCACCATTATTACATTACCATAACTCTCTGCTCTGCTCTATGGCAAGAACCTCCCCCCAAACCCAAAAGGACATTTGCCTAAGAAGATGAACAATCCAATCCAACAGACAGTCACTGTTTAATCAGCTTGCAGTTCAGAATCCTTCACCAGCAGCAGCTTAAACATCAAGAGCTTGTTAGTTTTGTAACAAACGATTACCAGAGATTAGGCAGATTTCTTTTCATTTCCATCAGAGCTAAACACTCCAAGAGGATGTACAGAAGAATTATACTGATACATGACAAAGACCATTAAAACAGGGGGGGAGGGGGCATGGTTAAAGTGAGAACAACAGCCATGAGAGCAGAGAACGAGGAAAAAGGAAAAGCCTTTCGATCATTTCGTACAAAAGTGTAGATGCTTTACTCCTGGTCTTGTTTGTTGAAGATGAGCGGAAATTCGTTGTAATGCTCGGACAGACCATGTTTATCTGCCATGTTCTTCAGAGATTCGTAAACCTGGCACATTGATGGCCTTTCCTTCGGTCTGGAGGCCACACAGCTACATGCCACTCTCAAAAACTGCATTATCTCATCATCATAGCCTATACCATATATGCTTTTGTCAATAGCTTCTTTGCTTCTACCAGTGCTCAAATACTGGCTCACCCAGTCAACTAAGCTCCCTTTAAACCCTAACCCTTCCTCTCCATTGTTGATAGAGAGAGGTTTTTGCCCAGTAACCAACTCCAGAAGCACGATTCCAAACCCGTACACGTCCCCTTTGAAGGAAGCGACCATCGTGCTCGAGTACTCAGGAGCCACGTAACCTAACTCACCCAGATCACCATTGTTGAACGAGCTATCGTTTGAGTTACGAGAAGCCACCAACCTTGCCAAACCATAATCAGTAATCCGAGCATCGAAATCTTCGTCAAGCAGAATTACATTGGAACTAATGTACTGATGCATATACGGAGGTTGGCAACCATGGTGCAGCCAAGCTAGCCCTCTAGCTGCACCAACTCCGATCCTAAGCCGTGTTGGCCAATCTAAACCACCACCAGCTTGATGACCGCCATTGCAGAATCCATCGCCGTGCAACTGAGAACACAATGTTCCATTGGGCATGTGCTTGTAAACCAACATTCTCTCATCTTCCACAACACAAAAACCTAAAAGCGGCACCAAATTCGGATGCCTGAGCTGACCTAACCTATTCAGCTCCGACCGGAACTGCTTCTCAACGAGCCCACAAGAGCTAAGCCTCTTGACTGCAAGTGCAGACCCATCAGGCAAAACAGCTTTGTAGGAGACCCCAGTTCTCGAGGAAACAACTACATTTCCCGTGTTAAAATTGTTCGTAGCCGCCATTAAATCAGCCAATTTGACCTTTACAATTGGTTTCTGAAACAACGTTACCTGAACGAGCTTGTGTGATCTCAGTAAATCGATCCAGTCACCATCTTCCTTAGATTTTCCAACGCCGTAACCTGTCTTATTCCTGCTACCGTCTCTGATGAAGAACCACCACAGTATTGCAAAACCCACGACCAAGGACCCAACAGCACCGATAATGCCGGCGACTATGATAATTGTAAGATTTTTACCGCTCAACGAGCCGCATCCCGACAAGGGTTTCCCGCAAAGGCCGTCATTTCCGCTGAAGTCGTCTTTACCGAAATGGGAAAGCTCGGAGGGAATTGATCCGGAGAGATCGTTGTCGGCGAGAGAAAGACGCCTGAGTCTGTCCAACCGACTGAGCTCCATGGGGATCGAACCTGACAGCTTATTTTCGTCAAGAATCAAGCTGTTCAAGAACTTGCACTCCACGATCTGGGACGGGATCGAACCGCCGAGTTTGTTGCCGGACAGATCCAAAGTGACCAGATAAGGCAACCATGAGCAGATTTGCGAAGGAATCGGTCCTGAAAGACCATTGTCGGAGAGATCCAGATACTGCAAACTGCGACAGAACTTGAGCGACTCGGGAATCTGACCCGCGAGTTGCATGGACTGGAGCTGCAGAGAGATAATGCGATTCTCCTTTTCGTTCCAGCAAGAAACGCCGGTGAGCTTGCAAATCGAAACCGCCGAGGAGCTCGAGTTGGAGAAGGACCAGCCACCAAGTCGACCCGAGGGGTCTTGGAGCGAGTTCTTGAGGCCTTCGAGACACAGCACATCGTCTTCAACAGAAGAACACAGGAAAGGGCAAACAAGTAGAAGACAAAACAAGGTAATGGATGTCGTCTTCTTCTCCATTGATGCTACAGATCTATTCTCTAGGGGAATTCCACGGAGGAGAAGTACAGGGACTACTTCAATGGCGGAAGAACGGCCATTGACTGTGCAGTTTTGTGGAAGGCACACCACTTTCGAAAAAATATATATTTTTTAAAATTCTTTTTTACTTTTTCCCGTTTTGACGTTATGTTCTACTTTAGTGGTTTTTGTCCGGGGGAAGAATCATAACGAAACGACGCCGTCAAAGCCTGGAATGGGGGAACTATATATCACAACCTGGTTTGGCATTTTCATGTTTCGATCGAAAAGGAAAGCTATATATATATATATATATATATATATATATATATATATATATATTCTTTTTGGTAATTATATACTTTCTTTTACAACGAATAATTGGATTTGTGATGTATCCGCCACAAATAAAAAGGATGAATATACAAATGTTGTCGTGTAAGCAATAATACTACCAGACCAAAACAGTCCATCCAATTTAATAAACATATCTATACAAAAGGACTTCCTTAGGTATGTTATGTATGATGTTATATAAAATTATATCGAGTTTAGGGTTAATAATGTGTTGCAGAATTTTTTTAATATAGATCTTTAAATTATATCAAATATTTATGAAAAAAATCTTGAACTTTTTAATACTATCCATCTAAAACATTAACTATTTATAAATCCAAATAAATCTCTATCTTTAAAAGGGACATCCAAATAATCTTTATTTTTTTTTATAAAACCTCTTCAATTATTCGCAAATCTAAATCTAAAGAAAATATAAATAAATATCCAAAAAATTTTGTATAATTTTTTTATTAATTATCAAATCATAAATATATCAAACTAATAAAATTATAATCGATAATTGAAATGTCTTGTTTTTTAAATATATAGTTATTCACAAATCCATAAATCTCATATTTAAAAAATATAAAAACTATTATATTTATCGTTTTAACTTTTCGATTTAAATTTGTGAAACATATATTTCGACATCAAATTATTATTATATTTATATTTATATCGAATTGAAAATATATAGATTAATAAAAAATTATGTTTAATTTGAATTCTGGATGATTAAAGTTTTAAATGGATGGCTCGCAGTAGTTAAAAGTCTTTTAGAATATATTTTTTTAAACAAAGAAAAATGAAAGGGTTTGAGTGGGCGAACGGGCCACGGGGATGGGTCCTGTTTCATAAATCTCTAAGAAACAGGACCCATCCATGCCACTTGTCTTTGATTCTCCCGCTACTCGGCCCAATCAATCATGTTCGTTACACCTTGTCGATGTGAAGAAGTAGCTCGATGGATGTGAAGAAGTGGCTTCAGATGTGAAGAAACATGACGTTAAACCATTAGATTTGGGACGAAACCTTACGAAAAGACATGCCACGATCCAGACTTCGCTCTTCCTTGACCAAAATACGATCACCCATCATGTAGATAATCTGACATAAACAAGGGGAAAAGTTATATAAGGGTGGGTCTCAGAGATTCGAAGCTACAAAATTCGATTTTTTTTTCTTTTAATAGATGAAGTTTTTTTTTTACCTGGCTATTGGATTCAGTTTGAGTATATAGAGTCCTGGAATTGACTTTTTGGCTTGTCCTGTTCTGAAAAAAAACCAGAACCTTCCTCTCTGATCACCGTTGCAGAAGACAGTGTTCATCCTCTGTCTTCGGACAGAACTTGGGACTTGAAAGAGTTATGCACATGTGTTCTTGTGGACTCTCCCGCTTGATACTGCCAAGTCGCACGACATTTCATCCAACGCCACCTCTAGGCTGCTTACCCGTGATTCGAGAGACTGGATACCACTCTGCGAACTCCCGATGAATTTCTATTTTTCAAATGAAAAAGAAAAGAGTTTCCAAGTCAGGGGGTAGAGCCATAGAACATGTATAGAACCGGGTAAGCAAATTTCAACACAATCCAGAAGCTATAAAACCAGCATCAATAATGGGTACATTAACCGCATCTTGTTGAGTTTGTTCGGTAGTCTCATTTGCTATTAAGCAAGTTCTTGGTATCAGGGAAAACATTCATTTCATGGATATTTGTCTAAGAGCATATGCTTGTCTGTCCAACCAAATGGATAGATGACGAATAAGCTTACTATTGGACTCTGGAATGAGACGTTCTTGAAGTCGGAAGTACCTGAAGGAGGGCTAAGAGATCTGATTGCTGGTTCTCAATCTGAGCAAGCTGTTCACGTATCAAAGACAAGTCCTCGCCATCTTTCTTAGTCTCATCGGCACCAGAAATGCCATTATCATTGCATGGGACAACCCCGTAGCCAGACCTCAAACCACCAATCCGATGCACCTTATCATCCCGGTTTTTCTCGAAGACAGTATTTTTAATAATGTCCGGGCCCGAGTTCTCCTCCTCTGATTCTACAGTTCCCCAGTCCAAAGATTGGGTCGAGGAATGAGATCTTGGTCCCTTGCTGGAGACCGCTAATGAATTTTTATGTCCTTGGTTAGTTCTTGAAAGATTCTCCTTTTGTCCCGTTGCAACATACGATCTGCTCAAAGGCAAGGATGGGGACCTCTTCATTAAGGGAGTTGCTTTCTTTCGTCGAGGGGTCTTGAACCCAGCATCCATTGAAGAACTTCTTGAGAACGAGGAATTGCATCCAATGCTACCATCATCTGAACCATATAGTAGATGCAAGAATGAGAACTGTCTAATGCAACTCACTAGTTACAAGTAGATTTTGATGTACAGAGGCATGTAACCAAAGGAAATTTCTCTCTGCAACATACCAGTGGAAGATCTAGATGGAGATGGAGATGGAGATGGAGATGGAGATGGAGATTGAGATGAAGAGGACCCGTCAGTATCACTTGGAACTTCCTTCCATAGCTCCAGCGCCCGATTCATAGTTTCTCTGACAATTTTCACCTGAATCATGGAATCCAAAAACGTCGAAATCAGATTTACATTTTCTCACCAACCAAACGAAATCCTGCATCTGTCCACGAGGTCTGGGTTCGATTCGAGCAACGATTACCTTGTCAAATCTCCTGCTCTCCAGAGTCGCCACACAGATCTTCTTATACAGTGGTGCTAAATCCTCCTCCACCATCGCAACTCTCCCCAATGCATCCGCCGCCGACTTCCTCGCTGCCCACTCGTCGCTGCTCAGAAATTCCATCAGCGACGGAACCAACCAGTCCAAAACCGACTTCGTTCCCGCTCCGCCGGCGCCGATTACGCTCCCTACACTGGCCAACAGCGCCGCCTTCGCCTTGAAAGCCTCGCTCTTCAGCAATTTCCCCATCCTCGGCAGTGCCTTCCTCAGCTGCTCCGCATCCGGATCATCCGCCGCCTCCACGGCAGCCGCCAAGCACATCGCCGCCCCGATCTGGGCGTTGGAGTCACCCTCCTGGACTAACGTATCGATGAGCGGCTTCGCGACGGCGGCGTACGGCTGGTGCGTAACGTGAGCCGAAATGTCCGCGGCCGCCGCGACGCAGGCGGCGCGAACGGAGGAATCCGGATCTCGGAGACGGCGGATTACGGTGGAGACCATCTTGGAGAGGTGAGGGGAGAGAGAGTCGCCATGGGAGCGGGAGAGAAGCGACAAGATAGAGACGCACTGCTTCCTCACCGAAGGTCTGCACGAGGAATCCGTGCTGTGGAGGCAGTTGAGAAACGAAGAGAAGGAATCCTGAGTGAGATTTCTCGCGATGGACTCGAGCTCTGCGGAGGCAAGAGCCAAGGTGTCGCGGTCGGCGAGTTTGTTGAGACAAGCGATTACTTTCTGCTTGAGAACCTGATTCGACGGCAGCGTAACCGGAGACGGAGACGGCGGAGGACTCGCCGGAGAACGCCCGTGAATCGACATTTTTTCCGATTTCCGATTCTGAAAAGTTAAAATTTTATCGCATTGAGTATCAGATAACCGAATACGGCGGCAGAGAGTTGCGATGTGTGCAGACTCGGTAATGGCTTTTTAAATGCCAACGAGAGAGAGAGTGGGAATCGTGAAAAAAATATTATATTTTTTATTTAATTCTATTGTTAGTTTTTTTTTTGCTGATTTAAGTTATTGATATAATTAAGTCCAAAATAGGAATGTTTTTCTCAGGACAAAATGTTTGTGAAATTGGAAACCAGTGTCTTGTTTCCTAATATAATTATTTTTTTCTTTATATGCCATTATAACCATTTAATTCCTATTCATATACTATAAAAGGCATTGGAAATATAAATGACATGCATGCATGCAACCAAAGGTATTAGAAATATCATTCAATTATTATAGGAAAAGATCATTAACTTATTTATAATAAATGAAAAACTTTTTCTCTGAGTTATCTTTATTTAATTATCTGAAAATATATTATTATTATTATTACTACTATTATAGAAATTAAAATACGACAAAAAAAAGCAGGCATCGGAATATCCCAACTGGACAGCCTTGGATTTGGAACAATTCCAATTTTCCAGTGATTAAACGATTTTTTTTAAAAAAAGGTATTGTGTTTCTTTCGGATAAGTCTCTTTGACTTTTGACATTTTTAGAACATTAATAATTAATTAATATATTCATATTATTTTATCAAACGAAATCGTGACCGTAGTTTTAAATAAATTCGGAGTGAATTTTCGGCACCCATGACACGTTTCATGGCGCATGGAGAGATCTCTATTTGTTTCATGGACTCCCATCACCAATTAATGAAACAAAAATTCAAACATCTTCGATAATTTTGTTTTGCCATACTTTATATTTAGGGGTTGAACGAAGGAAC